ACATGATTTATTTAAAGCTTATTAATGATTATGAGCCTGTTTTTCAAAAAAGGTGAAAAGGAAATAATATTTATCTCGCACTGGTGATTTTTTAGCAGGGTGAATTTAAAGAGATAACTGTCACTTAGTAGGTATACAAAGAATGATAACTGATTATGTAGATGATTTTCTAAAGCATGGTATTCATAAACTTTAAAGTGTGAGTACGGGATAATAAGACAAGAAACGACACAAGACAGCAGTGGAATAATTCCCAAATAGCTGATACAGACAAAAGAACTACTAGAATTTAGAAGAAGAAGAGCTCACTTGAAGACACAGAAAAGGATGACATAGGCCTGGTTTTAAATGTTGGAAAGGACTTGCCCAGGAAGAGAAAAGAAGGAGCGAGTACCAATCGGTGTCAATTAAAATGCAGTGAGAAAAAAAGGGGTAGGAACAAGGAGACTGAGAAAAACAGTCGGACAAAAGTCAGTGGAGTCAGTGGAAATTATTTCTTTACAGTTTGATGTAGACGAATATTCCTCCCATTAACCCAAAATGAGAGGACCTGAGAGTTGCACAATTTCAGACTGCTGATGAAATTGTCTCTGCTAAAGAAGTACGTTAATTTGACTCTCTTCACTTAAACTCACACCTTCTCTCCTAATTTAGGTAAGCGGCCATCAAAGAGGCCTTTATTTTCCATTAACATCAAAAACAAAACCACTCTTAAGGAGCAGTTGTTTCACTGATGCTAAAAGAGCCTGCTCACTCTGTCAGTTCATCAGTCCATATACATTAATTAGTCTAAGTCAGTGACTGAGAAAAAATTAATCTTATTTTAAGATCCATGATCCAGTGATCCACATGAAACTACCTTCTGCTTTACTGACTTTTCTCATTTTGCCCGATCGTCACTGCAGCTTGTTGGTATAACTACATCTTTCACCTACAGGAGTGGAGCTGAAAAGAGGACCCAAGTTTCTAGTCTTCTTGGTATTTTGGTTGCCAATAGGTGCTATTGATGAACATTCTACTTAAGATGACAGGTTGTCCTTTGATCTCATTTCAGGATTTCTGGAAAAAAACAAAACAAAACAAAACCTGGGATTCTTTTTTAAAATGAAGCTTCCTGGGCACCACCTAAGACCTACTGAATTAAAATTTATCCTGGTAGAACCTTACCACCCGCCTTTAATAATTTTCCCATGTGAGTTTTGTGCCAACACACCTATATTTCATACTCCCTACCCCCGCTACCATGTCTCCTTTCTTAGTTCTTCATAATCATCACAGCAGGATTAGGGCAATAATCAACAGAGTCCTCTTACCTGAAAAGTTTCACAAAGCTTTCTGCCTCAACTAAATTAAAAAATAGTAATAATAACAATGGACACAAAGAAGCAAAGCCTGAAATAATCCTTTCTTAGGGCCCCCCGTATTCACTGACAAATGAAAGCTTGATCAGCACCAGTCTGTGTGAACTGCAGAACAGGCTAGGAGACACAGGGAGGAAATCTGGGGCCTCAAAAGGAGCAATGGGGAAATTTCAAACCCTCTCAGCATTCCACCAAAGCTCTGGGCATTAATTACTGGGCAAAGCTCAGCTCTCCCTTCCTGCTGAACAGAGGAGAGCGAACCTCCAAGCTCATTATGCTGGGTCATTATGTAAAGGCGTGTCTAGCTGAGATGAGTTGCCTGCTTCAGCAGATACCTCCACCCTTGAGTCAAGGCTATGTCTTCCAGTCAACACAGCACCAATCAGAACTGATAGCAATGACCGCAATGATCACCACATACCATCACCGTGTCTTAAGCCCAATCCAGAAACTGGCTTAGTTATTTCCACCTATCTTGCTAACTAAATGAAGAGTTCTATGAGGGAAGAGATAATCTCTTATTTCTTTTGTTTAATCCCCTGCTTCATCAGGAACAATGACTAGTTTTATTTCTTTTTTTTTTTTTTGTGACAGTGTGTTAGTTAAACAATTAACCTGTTTAAAGTAGAAGCAGGAGGATAATTAATAAATCTGTTAATTATTCTGTCAGATCATAGACACTGCCAGCCTTCAGCTTTTAACTCTAACATGTATATGCTTCAGGGTAGCAAAGGTATAAGTCTAGAACAGTGTTAGCATGACACATGTTTTGCAAACTACTAAATTCGGAAGCTCTGGAATTATGTTTGTTCCTCTTTCTTATACTAGAATGCCAGTTCCCTGTTTCTTTGCCCAGTAAACACGTATCATTCAAAATGTAGCATAAATACCATCTTCTACGCGTTGTCTTCCTTGGTTCCTGGGAAAGAACTTCATTACCTTCATCTAACAGTCACTAGAGATGACATTGATGCAGGTGGCCCACAGGTGACACTTTGAGAAACCCCACTCAAGACTGTAAGTTTTTCAAGACGAAAAGCCATGTTTCATTCATTTCACTCATTTATATCTCCAAGATCTGTCAGGAGCCTATACAACTACACCCAACAGACACTCAGTAATGAATAAACGTGTGTGTGGGAACACCCATCCAAAAGCCGAACCTTAGTTTTTTCTTTAATAAAATGCATTAGCTGCTTTCTTGATATCTACCTTATCTCAAAGCTTCCTCACTATTATTCCACCATCAATACAGCATTTTTTAATTTTTTTTAAATAATATTTATTTACTTTGTAAAACCAAATCACTTAAGTAATAGGCACTCATGGTAGAAATTACAGTGAGCAAAGACCCAAGGAAGAAAATACAAATCACCTATAATCTCTCCTCATCAAGTTGACCATCATTAGCGTATAAGCATGTGCTGTGATTGCATTATACATAGCAGCACACCACATTTTTAATTAACAGAATTGTTTCATTACTTCTCTTTGAAGCACATATTTGTAAATAAAATGAATCGTGTTAAAGTGAACAGTTGAGTGGGATTTAGTGCATCCACTATGTTGTACAACCACCACCTCTATTAGCGCAAAAATTTCCATTCCATGTCCGTGATGCGATCTCTTCCCACTTCCCCCTCCACCTACCCCCTCGATACAGACAAAAGAACTATCAGAATTCAGAGGAGGAAACGCTCTCTTGAAGACATAGAAAGGGATGACATTGGACTTGGCTTTATATTTTGGACAAGGTTTGCCTAGGAAGACAAACCCCTAATCTGTATTATGTTTCTATGGATTTATATATTCTGGATAATTCATATAAATGGAATCACACGATATGCGATCTTGGTGTCTGACTTCTTTCACTTAGCATAAATGTTTTTGAGGTTCATCTACATTGTAGGCTATCTCAGTACTTCATTTCTTTTTATGGATGAATAAAATTTCATTGTACGTATATACCACAATCTGTTTTTCGGTTCATCCACTGAAGGACATTTGGACGTTTCCACCTTTTGACTATTGTGAGTAGTGCTACTATAAACGTGTGTGCACACGTACTTGTTTAAGTATCTGTTTTCAATTATATACACAGGAATGGAATTGTGGAGTCGTACGGTAATTCTGTGCTTAACTTTTCAAGAAACTACGAACTGTTTTCCACATCAGCTGGACAGTTTTACATTCCAACCGGCAAAATAGGAGGGTTCCAGTTTCTCCACATTGTCACCAACACTTGTCATTTTCTGTTTTTTTGTTTGTTTTTGTTTTTTAATGATTATTATAGACATCCTAGTGGGTATAACTGGTACCTCACTGAGGGTTTGATTTTCATGTCCCTAATGACTAATGAAAGGAGCCCTGGAGGCACAATGGTTAAGCACTTGGCTGCTAAGTGAAATGTTGGTGGTTCAA